CCCCCGTCTGTATGCAATAGCATTAGTGGTTAATGGATCTGGTTTTTCAAAGATCAGTGAATTACATTTTGCCCCGTAAAACGCCCCAAATCCACAAATTGAACAAACATTCTCTCTACAGTTCTTTTAGTTATTTCGATCGTAAATTGGTATTGGCATGTGATAGCAGGGAGTTAAACTCGCTTTTGACCAATGGCTACTTCATCTAGTGGTCAGCATACTGGAGTTTCAAGGGCTTTTTTGTTTCCTGAAAATATTAGAAAAATCTATAAGAATTTTGATTTTTTAGTGTAAAAATGCTAAGAATACTAAAATCTAAGTCTACGAAAATCTCTGAAAGAATACTAATTTAGTTTTTTTGTCTTCTGAAGATGTTAGAAAAATTCCAAAAAGTTTTGGTTTTTTACTATATATAACACACGGCCGTCCAGACATTCACTCTGGGCGTTTTTTTTTCTTTTTCGTAATTTTTTTTCCTTTTTTTTCTGAATTTTTTTCTGAAAAAATTTGTCTTCTGAAAATGCTCAAAAAGTTTTTAAAAATTTTAATTTTTTAATATATAAATATTAAAATCGTGCGGACAATCACTGTGGATGTCCTATGTTAGTGATTTTACCAGCATACTTCCGTATCGGGATGGAGTATGTATATATAATGTGGCCTTTGTTACACTGCGCGGGAAAACTATGTCGCAGCACTGATAACCATCAAAGATTATCAGATTTACCACATCAAAATTTTCCACCATTCCACTGTGTATTTCATTCCAACAATTTCGCTTTTCCTGTGTCATGGTTTTTAATTTTTCTGATTTTGATGCAAGTATGGTATGATTTGCACATTTTTTCGGAGAAATCTGAAAATTATTCACTGGTTCTCTTGATTAGCAGGCACTTTTCGACCCTGAAGCAATTCCCGCGATCTCTCAGTCCTCTCGATTTTTATGCGCCATATTTTGTTTTTTTCGTTCCTTATATTCATTTATTCATATACAGTGACAGTTGTTGATTAGCAGATAAATTCCTCGATGACAACTTAAAAACTTTTAAATGAGGTTTCTTTTAAGTGAGGTTTTTGAGGTCTTTTGAGGTTTCTGTGTCCTGTGTGAGGTTTCTTTTGAGCTTTCCTTCTTTGTGCCTTCTCAGATATTGCCAGGAGTATCAGCTTTCACGTGGGAGGCCTCTTTCATCAAATATGGAATGCACTTTCATTCCAGAATTTCTGGATTTTTTGCGTTAATTTGATTCATTTTTGAGGAATTTCTGATTTCACTCGTTTTCCGCGATTTCTTGTTTGTCTCATCATATAACGCATTGTGTGCTAAATTTCAGATTTTCGTCATGGTGGATGTTGATAAAGAATTCCCCAAGAAATGGCCCTACGGCATGATTATGACAGCACAGTGGGTAAGCTTTTCACCTTTATATTGCCTTTTGATATTTTGGTACCTTTTGCATAGTACCTTTTTTCGTAGCTTTACCGGTCGTTTTGACCAGTGGTCAGCCGTCTGGCGATTCTGACATTCTTTTTTTCTCCCCTGAAGGGATGGCCGACGCAGTAGCTTTTTATTTTAAAAGAAAAATCGAAAAAATAAATGGTAATTAAACATTTTTTTCGTTGTTTTTTTAAAAAAAAAATAAAGTTTTTATCGATGCGATTTCAGCTTAGCTGCTTCATATTGCTGGTCATCCTGTACTGCTCACCATATCACTACAGCGGAACTTCATTTGTATTCTTCTGCGCCTGGACAATTTTCCTAGTCGGATTACTCACCTGGATTGCACACCTACTTGGATTCCAAAGACAAACGTTCAATGTTGGCCAGATGTCCGCTTTCGTACCATTCGCCCTTTTGGTAAGAACTGCTTCGTCGTTTTGCTGGCACAGGCGAATCCAGAATGGACTCCTAAGAGGGGAAGGGGAGCGACGGGAATGGGGGGGAGAAGCCCTTTCCCATCCTGGAACTACGCCGAAACTAGGAATAGAGTTGTAACACTGCAACTTAAAGTTATTTTAGTTTTATTTATGAACAGTCCCGGGTTTTTGCAGCACTGGTGCCTGTGCCGCTGAGGGCGGAAAGGAGGGAAGGAGGCAAAGAACTCATCGTCCCCCTCCCGTATGGAGCCTATGTTTGCAGGTGGAAAATAAGAGAGAAAAGTGAGGTGAATGAGGTAGTTGACTGTAGCTTCTTGCTGATTTGCTTAGAATTTGAATGAAACAAATGTAAACAAGACAAAAATGATGAGTTTATTGATGGCTACTTCTTTCGAGGGTTACTGATTGCTGATTTTTTCCTTGATATGCGCTGGTACCAATTTACCATCGAAACGAATAATTAAACCTTAGAAGGACTGTCTTTTTCGATGGAGATGTCGAACTTTCGATCTTTGGAGCGAGATGAACATTACTTACCGCTGCTCCATAGTGGCTAGCAATGTATTTTTGATTATTACTATTATTATTGTTTTTATTGTCATTATTGTCGTTATTATTTCTTTCACCACCATTGTTATTATTAGTATTATTATTATTACTTATTGTTTTATTATCAACATTATTATTGTTATCACCAGTTACCGTTACTACTGTCATTATCAATGACACTTCTCCTACTATTTTCGCTATTATTTATAGTGTTAATAGTTGCTGTTACTGCCGTCATTTATCATTATCATTATTATTATTTATTATTTCGAACTTTTTCGGATCCAGCTTTTAAGTTTTTATCATCATGGCTGCTGTACTGCACCATTTTAACGGATTTTTTTTTGGTTTTCAGCTGTTCGGCTATTCGCTAATTTTCTTCTTTCTTTTCTGCATTTCGGCACTGATTTGCCTGATCAGCATGTTCTCATCAATTGGTTATGCTGCAAGCTTATTTTTCGTCTATCTTTTTGCCACGGTAAGTTTTTAGCTTTTTTTTTTTTTTTTTTGAGGTGTTTGATATTTTTTGCACAGAATCGTCGGTTATAAAACTCACGATTTGAACAGCATACAAAGACAAATAATATTTTTTTTAAATATGAAAAATACTAAGACCGCATTCCAGATATTCTGCTTGTTCTGTGGTGCAATGTGTGGTTATATGGCAATTTTGCTATATCGTGCCACACCGAATGGATTACTGATGAATTTGCGGTCGGTGGTGATTGAGGGTGACAAAACAAGCACATTTGGTGCTACCGCAGCACCAGCTGGTCCCACTTCTCCAACCAGTATATATCCACAGGGTACAAATCCTGTATAATTCACCACCACCAGCAGCAGCAACAGGTAAAATTTCTTTTGCAGCAGTGTACAGTTTATTCCGTTGTTCTTTTATTTGCCTGTTTATGTAATTATTTGATAATATAATTATTTTTGGCCAAATATATAATTAGTTTTTTTTTTATCTTTTTTTGTTTGTTCAAATATGCAACTATTTTTGGTAATTTTTATTTTAAGGTAAAAGAATAGGACCGTTTTTGGAGCTGGAATTTGAATTTGAATTGGATTTTTAAGTCAGATTTTAAGTTTTCATTTAGATTTTAGATTTGGTTCTAAATTCGAATTGAGATTTTTTTCGGCATAAATTTATGACAAGGACTATGTTTTTGGTTGGTATTTTGGAAAAAGCTGCTCAACAAATAAATTGGCATTTTGGAAAACAGTGCACAGTTATGTAAATATTAAAAAAGTATTTCTAATGACGAAATACGATATTAAAATATTTTTAATGACGAAACACATAAATTTATATGAAAAACGGGTTTTTAAAATTTTTGCTTTGGTGCGAAAAATATGTCAGATTTTACGGTCATTTAATGAAATTTATGATGGGAAACCTCCGATTTGTGGAATTCGAAAATATGAAATTGTAACTTTTATCCCGCGCAAGCGATAACCCAAACATTGCATTTAGAGAAAAAATAACGAAAAAGTTATAAATTTCTTCATGATTTTTCCCTGATTCATCATCATCGCTGTTCATTTTAGATTTTGCAGTTGTGACGAACATATTACGCAACTTTTCATTTATATGATATGAATTTTTTTTTCGGTGGAATTGGATTGTCTCTTTGCGTGCTTGGTAATTCAGTTCAAGTTTCCTGTGATTTCCTGGTTCCGGTAAAAGTTTAATTCAGCAACATTAAACAGTTCCAATACTTATTGTGGTACTTGAAATGCGTAATTGTATTAAATATCCATAATTGTGTTAAACATTCACAGTTTCTCATTTTACAATTGTATTCTTGTATTTGAGTTAAAATTCTGATTATGGTACATGTGAGTGCCATTACTTAATTATCAGAACTCAATTGGCTTGCGAAAATTACAATTTCCATGCACATTTTTGATTTTTCCTGAACAAATTTTTTTGTGATTTTATTAAAGTGAGTCATTAAAAAACGTGATTTCAAATTATTATTATTAATTATCAGGTTTTTTAAGAAGGAAATCAAAAAAAAAATCACGAGTTTGAGGAAATATGAGTTCCTTCTCGTTTCATCAGTGTGTAATTAATTACTTTGCGCGACCATTTGACCTGTAAAAGTTTCAAGTACCACTCAAGTTCCTGATTCTTCTCAGGCGAACTTTTTTTGTGATATTGTTATGAGAAATTGCTTGAAAATCATGGTTTTGAATTATGATAACTAGAAGAAGAAGCAAAAAAGAATCATGATTCGGAAATTGTGAGATTTTTCCCCATCTTTCGCTTAGGACGTGTGATTAATTATATTGCTTATCTGGTTGGTGTTTTTGGTTTACAGTTGGGGAGATGTTGCTTTCAGATGAACAGTTGCTTAGAGTTGATAGACAACAGCGGAAATTCATGGCGTCTAGGCATCACTGAAGCTTTAGCATCAGCAGGGCCGGGTGATCTTGGTAGAATGTAGCTTACACCAGTTGATAACGCATAATTGCTTTTCGGCAATTCGTCCTGACAGATTTTCTTGATTTCACTTAATTGCCCAGTTTTTTGTTTTTCTGGTTTTAAAACAATATTGTGTACCTGGGCTTGAAGCTTCATTCCGACAATGTGGCAGCCCTTCACTATTCATTTTTTCGTTTCGATGGTAAATTGGTACTGATATATGTCAGTGAATCAAACCCGCCATTAGACTGTTTCTGTGCGGGCAACTTTCGAAAGAGGAAACCATCGACAGCACTGCCAAACATTTGGTTGCTGTTAGCATATGCTACCATTCGGGCTACTTCCGAGTGTCTCCGGATCCTCTTTTAAAGAGTTAACAGGGCAGGGTTTTAAGTTTTTGTTTATATACTGAATAAGTGAGTTGTAAAAAGTGTTTCTTCGTTTTGTTTTATTTATGTTCTATTTTATGTTGTGCTTGTGTTAGTCTGCTGCTTAATCGTGAATACGTTGTCCAGTTTCTTTCTTATGCCCACTTTCCGTTGATGTCCACTCTCTTTCATGTTTTGATCAGCTGTCGTTTCATCCAAGTGTACAATAAGTGTGGGTTAAGAACTTTTCCACGATTGTTAGGGCAGAAGCTGCATCAGCTAGTATTTAGTCTAGTGAGATAATTCTACTTTTTTTTTTTCTGTGGCTTTTCTGAACCAAAGAAATTTTAGTTTCTCCTCTCGGTTTATCTGAACGAAAATACTGCTCTACTTCTTACGTTATATGTGAAATCCTTCAGCTTACTTGTTACCACTGCTTCAGTGCCAACTAAAATAGCCACCTACTACTCATTCTATGTCATCTAAAATAGCCAGTGCGGTCGAAAAGATATGCGCGATGTTAATCTTGTACGGATCTCTAAGGATATCAAACTTCCAGCACAAAAGCACTCGGAGTCACATGAAAAGGTGACCACTTATTTTCTGTCCTACTTAGCTCGCTTCAAGCTTTCCAGCCTTTTAAGAGAACTAGAGGAGGTACCACTCAATATGTTCGTTGCTTAAGGAAGGAAAAATCGTAGATTTTGAGGCTTAACCTCACATATCTTAACTATTCATGAAATTGTGGAATTGCAAAAACTCGAGCAATTTGAATTTGATTTTTTAAATATAATAAAATGAAGACGAGAGTTGAGACGGTGAATTGGGCAGGGATGAAAAGTATGCTTAGAGGATATTCCGGAGAAGAGGGTAAGCGAGAAAAAACAGGGTACTTATAATGCCGTTGCTGGCCTGTTCCAGAAATGACTTGTTTAATCTTTTTAAAACTCTGGCATTTCCTTTATTATTTTCTTGTTCGACATTTCTTTGTTTGTATTAATGTTTTACAATTTCAGCTATGGCTAACAAAGTCTAGTTTTGCTGCCCTGTGCCACGCTCCCAGCAAAATCCAGCGCTCCGACTGCTAAATATGCCAGAGCAACAGCCAAGTGCACCTGGTCATGCATGCCCACTTATTTTATGCGATTTTCTACCTTCCGGTAGATTTGGTAGTGGAAAATTGCAAACCAGCATAAGAGGAGCACATTTAGTCCTGTCCGAGGAGTTGAAGGACACTTCCTCTTCGGAATCCATTTTTGCCGAAATTTCTCCAACCGCCTCGAGGAGAAAAATTTTACTAGTAATTTTTGTCATTTCTTTCAAAGTAATTCGTTGAATGGTTATTCTCCAAATTCCTACGAGAGGTTGGCCCTGGATTTCGCGACTAAGCGATTGCAGTTGCGATCATGCGATCGTGATTTTAAGTGAAGTCTGTGGGGGCTTCGCGAATAACATGGGTTCGTAGTCCCGAAGACAAAGGATTATGGATGAGGCAGCAAAAGGAGCAGACGTCCCTCGAACAAATTTTGGAACTTTCGTGACAACATTTGGCAAAACGATACTTGGCGCACTGAACGCGGCTTTTGACGATGACAACAGTGGACAGCAGCTTCAACTGTTGCTTCCTGATTTCAGTGATTTCAGGCTTTTGGAGTTGTTGGAGCAAGGAAGTGTTCGGGAATGAGGGGCTGCTGGGAGGGGATTCTTCTGAGCCTTTTGTTGATACAACCGGTCGGATCTAGGCAAAATTTTAGAAGAGGCCGGTTGTCGTTGGGATTTAAAGGGCGGAGCCCGAACTGCTTCCTTCAGTTATATATCTAAAAAAGTACTTGTCGAGTGCATGGTTGATGGCTGCTAGTTGGTTATTTATCTTTGGATACAGTAGATTTGTGACTTAGTAAATCTGCTATCAGCAGGCTTCGAGCTTTGTCAGAGAATATCCCGATTTCGATAGGGAGCGTGGCTTGAAAGCAAACGCTATGGGAATAAATTCGAGTTCATTCCAAAGTCTTCGCTAAAAGGGAAAGGGAAGCCCAGCGATGGTTTATAATCTGGTTGTTTTTCGAAGGACAGTCAGTCTTCTGCTTCGATGTAATAATTTTTATCGTGGTATATTTGAAACTGCGTTCCATTACGAGAATTGTGATTTTTAATATATTAAATAGGTAGCCACTGTAGCAGCTGCTTACGACTCAAGCAGCTGAGTGGTTGGCGATGATGTATAGGATTCTGAATATATTAAAGCCTATAATATGTAATATAATCATGTATAATTGTTTTACAACAATCATGAATAAATGTTATTATGTATAGGCTTTAATATATTCAGGAAAGTACTTATCGAGCGCATAGCTGATGGCTGCTTTGTTCGCTTTTGGTTCCCGTGGCTTTTTGATTCAGTCAAATCAGCCATCAGCAGGCTTAGCATTATGACAGAGAAGTTCCCCCTTCGTTTCCGGAGATGTCCCGATGTCGAAGGAGATGACGAAAGGGGCAGTGGAAGCAAACGCTGTGAGGGAAAAATACGGGTCAGTTCCGACCAAATTCTTCCGTGAAAGGATGGAGGAAATTCCAAGAGTGAATTACGGCTTGATTTTAATTTTTTTTTATTCCGTCTTAATTTTTATTAGGACCGAAATATGGGATCGATTCAAATATCGTGTGTAACCAAAACATTATTACGAAGCCGTTTACGCTTCATTCCTTTGGCTAGAAACACAGACGCAGCGTGGCATAAATATAAATTATGTTATTATTAGTGAGTTTTCTTTTTTTTTTCGAGTTTTCTTTTTCTCACAAAAAAAAGCATTGCGTTCTGCTAGTTTTAGTTTTTTTCTCGAAAAATAAGCTAAAATACGCTGGACTTTTATTGTATTTCCTGGATTTTCATCATGAGGTATATGGTGTGGCTTACGTGATTATTTCCTATTGCTGGTAGTGGAGTAGAAGGGTGCTGCGGAAAAATTAGTATTGGGTGAAGCTGAAGAATTAGATGAGTATGATTCACCGAGTGTGATGTACCTATCTAGCATTTCTTTGCGGGAGAACAAAAATCAAAGCATGAATGGACCGGAGTCAGCAGTAAACTGTCCACTAGGTGATGCAGCTTTATGTCTTGGTAAACATGGAAAGTTTTTCACCCCTATTCTAGAGAAGCTGAGATGCACTGTGATGAAACGACAGTTGATTGAAGTTATCAAAAGATATTGTTAAAATAACAAATTCTAATGATTATGATTTACTGTTGCCCTCACTTCACTGTGTTTTATCTGCACTCTTTTGAGATCTCTGAAAAAAGTTTATGAAAAAATCAAAATCTATCTTACATTTCCCTCAGAATTCCATCTTACGAGGATGATGTTGAAGCCCAGGAGTACAGACCCGGAAAGAAACCTGAAGTCTGCAATTCTCGGTTTTTCTTCACGTTAAGTCTGGTATCACAAAATTTTTGGCATCAGTAAATTTTTGTGTCTTCGTGAATTTGTTTGTCCGTTTACTTATCTGTCTTGCTGCATTTTAAAATTACGATCATTTTTTGTCGCGCTTGATGTTGTTTTCTCCCATATGTGCTTTGTACTTGCCATATGTCATTGTGACCGGCTGATTCTACTGTAACATAGTGGAGCAGCAGCGATGAATTTTTGTGAGTTCTTTTTGTGTATAAATATTTGGATCAAATGTTGTTTCATCGCCACCTTTTTTTCTTTTCGCCACTTTCTTCATTCTTCTCTGTTTTGGCTACTATCTCCACATAATTCCATATAGCCGTTCAGGTGGTTTCTTCCGTCGTGGTGGGATTCTTGCTTTTAAGATGGAGTAAACACCGTTGTTTAAATATATTTACACGATTAATGTTTTTCCATTCGAGAAAGTTTATAACTGAATTTTTTTAATTTTTTATACTGAATTTATGCGACACAGCGACACTGAACTGGAGTATATCCATAACCATTACATGGACTAAAAGGAAATCATGGCTTGGTGTAACCTTTTTTTACATGTTCTTTACTTGCCAACCCATTGATCGCGAAAACGTCGGCCTGAATATTCGATTGTTTCGTGGTTCTGGGATACAGGATTTGGGATTGCTGCGGGATCCAAAGCGTCAAGTTCTTCGTTTTCAGTTCGGAGGCTGTTGAAGTAGCCGTTTCGTGTCGTGCTTATGAAGGCATTTTTTCATGAACCAATTTATCTTGCAAATCACCATACATAAACAAGCGCAGAAATTCTGAATTAAAAATAGGGAAAAAACTGAAAAATAAAATTATAACTGACAATCAATTGTTACTCTCTCTGAATTATTAGATTTTGGTGCTACTGAGGCGAATCACCTCATGGATTATTGCTTTTAGCAAAAGATAACATTTTGTGGAGTTTTGAGGTGCAGGAAACAGGGAGAGAGGGGAGTGGGAGGGAGAGAAACGCGGTTTTCTTAAATTAAATTGTTTGTTCAGTGAATTTTTTGCAAAGTGAAAATACAATAGGCTCAGATCTGGAAAGAAAGCATTATCCGTATCACAGTCGAGGAATTAAGTTTGATCAGTGAATCAAAATTCCCCTATGATTTTCCTTTTCAATTGTCGTGCTCGGGTTTTGCTACCCTGTACAGGGGGTACAGGATCCTTCCTGTAGTACTGGATCTGTAAACAGTATATTGTGAATACTTCAAACTGATGGCACCTCAGTGTTTTTGAGGTGCGAATATTGAGGAAGTTTTGACTTTTGACTTTGACATTTGCTCGGCGGAGTACTTCACGCCATTCATCTGGCTAAGCAATTGAGTGATTACACGATGAAAAAGCTTAATTTGAGCAATCCTCCGCTATAACAGGCATCTCACCTTTTTGCCACGTTCACATTTCACGTCCACGCATCATTGGAAAAAATCCATTTGGCATAAATACATGGATATGTAATAAATAGTCTAAGAGCGTCTGGTATTTAGCTATGTCTTAGTAAAGTCGTTAAAAAAAAAAAACCAAAAATCTTAGCAATTTTTTCACTCAAAAAAAAAAGGAATGTCTTACATCGATAATTCGCCACACCTGATCAGTTTCGAAATAATGCCAGGTTATGCGGCAGTGCCTATAAAATGATTAGAATATAATTCGAGCATTTCATGCCCTCTCACCTGATCCAGGAGTTTTTTGCAAAATGCGTTATTCGCGAAATTATAGTTTTTAGAAAACGAGGAAATAATTCGACCAATTTGAACAAATATCAATTAACAACTAGTTGAAACTTTTACTGATTTCAGCCAGCGCAATTTAGCATTAAGTAAATCTTGACATTTCCTTAACAGAAATCTAAAATAGCGATAAAAACAAAATCTTGAAATCTTTAAGAATATTGATGCAGTCAAAAGTAATTTAAATTCTGTAGAGTAAAAAAGCGAATTAGTTTTGATTAGGAACTCGGATTCAAAACTTACATATCAGGAATGATTTTTGACCAAAGCGTGATTTCGGTGAATGCATCGCCGTTTTCGTATTTTTTAAGATTGTTCAGATCCAGAAAAATGACATCGTTGCCGGTTATCGATATTCCTTTCTGCTTGTTCAGAAAATCTCGTTTTAGTCTCTCAACTCCTGCAATTTAAACATTAAGATTCCTGGATTTCATAGCTGAAACTCAGTTTTTTCTTTCACTATTCTGATAATCATCTTTAATCGAATTCAAAATACCCTTTTTTTACTGTAACTCATCCACCGACCCTTTGTGGAAGGAAGGAGTACCCAGTCGTCGCTTTCGTTTACAGGGTTCTCAACAACAGTAACAGAGGAAAGGTGTAATGCCCGCCTCTCCGAACATTCTCACTGCTTTTTATGCGTTTTTTGCAGCTATGCAATGCAGAAGACGCATACAGCCGAGAGGTTGTCTGTGTGCGTGTGTGTGAACTGGGCCTCTGTTCCGATTTTTCATCTCGAGACCTACAAAAGCTACAGGACTGAAACTTTGGGAACTTAATCTACATGAAGGTACGGGCCCCCATCCCCAAAAAGGGGCTGTCTTATCCACGCGGTACTTATATACGAGCCCATGAAATTTTTTTGCAGCCAAGTTGCTAGCTGGGGAACCTGAGACGCTAGAAGACTGGAATTTTGAAGGGATGTATCCTGACAGTCCTGGTGGTCAGTCTAAAATTCTTTTAGCTACAAGCATCTGCCGGGAAAAAAGTGCCGCTAGCGACAAAAATCTGCGGAAGCTGTGCGAAAGACGCATCTTCGCACGGGCAGCTCGTGCGTTGGTCAATTATGACAGGTTTGGTAAAGAGCTACTGCTCCTTCTTTTTTCGTATTTTCCTAAAAACTCATTACGCTGATGAAACCCGTGAAGTCTCTGAAGTAACTAACGCTCTGCAGCACCGGCACGAAGAAATTCCTCCGAAGCATAAACACTAAGCATCCCGAGTGGATCATTGTCGTAGAGAAATTTGATGATTTGCCCAAGCTGATAACGAATGCCAAACGCTGGGTTCGCACTTCTGTTAGACTTAGCCGACGTTGTTAGTGGCACTGTAATAAATATCATTTCTTGAACCAAGGGTTTCTTTTTACTGACTTTTATCAATTTTTCAAGCGAAACGGATGAAGTCTTGTTGCAGATAAGTCGAAATAACCAGGCAGATAATGTTTGTTACGCCCAACTCAAAGGCATATAAAGCTCTGTTGTTGGTGAGACAAAATAACTTGACAGATAAAATTTCACTGCAGATAAAATTATTTGTCAGGTAAAGTTTCATTAAAGAAAACATTTTACTAGCAAAGTTTGCTAGAGATAAAGTAAAGCTACTCGGCGGACAAGTAAAGTTACCCATCGTAATAAGAAGTTACTCGACAGACAAAATTTATTTGCAGATAACATGGATTTTTTTGGCAGATAAAGTTTTATTATGCGTTTTTTGCAGCGGAAAACGCATATTGACAAGAGGCTCTCTCTATGTGTGTGTGTGTGTGTGTGTGTGTGTGTGTGTGCCTGTGTGTGCGCTGGGCCTCTGTACCGATTTTT